TGTCTACGTTTTCATATTCATTCGTTCCGAAAAGTATTGTAATATCATGACCGGAAAAAAGATCCGTTGCTCAATACAGTGAACACACAAATATAGATATCGAACATAGTGGGACGTGTGTGATCCATAGTTAGTGAACCAAGTAAACCACTAATTGCAGAATTCCCCTAACTTCAAAGTGCATGTTTTGAGCTCAGAATTACATCATAACAAATAAGATTTCACCTTTTCGTTATTCATCATTGATCTCATGTACTATTTAATCCATTTTACCAATCATGACTTCGGGACTTTGTACTCTATATTCTTAGTCGGAAACAACGAGGCAAGAAAACACAATTCAATCAAAGAATCAGAAATATCACAGTTCTAGCACTTGACTAAATGACGACAAAAGAAAACTCAAATGATCTACTGGGAAAAAAATAGCAACAATATTTATGGCAAGAAATTCTTACATACCTTATTATGAAAAGACTTTGTCTGGACAGAAAATATTGTGTGTGTGTGTGTGTGTGTATTGAAGCTCTGAGTTTTCTCCAACCCAAAAAAAATGGTGGTTGTATGTATATGTATGTATATGTGTTTATGCAGAGAGTAAGGTTTGATATGGGCAGTTGTGAGAGGAACTCAAAATGTTTGTAATTTTTGCACCAAAAAGACGAAGTAAGGATTGGTTAAGTAATTTATCTTGACGAACCGTTGGCACTCGTTCCCAGAACAGTGGAAAATATAAATATTAAAAAAAATATATTGATAATCGTGAATATCTATATCAGCTTGTGCGCACATTAACTAATCACACAAGGTCCTGAAATTTACGATCGAGTACTTACCTCAATAGTCTTGAAGGGGCTCGAACGGGTGACCATTAGAGAGTAGACCCAAGGCCCAACCAATGGAAATACTAAAAATAATTTTTCATTAATAGATATTTCTCCTTAATATTCAAAGTATTTTATAAACAACACATTACTTAAAAAAGAAAATAATAATTAGCACATAAAGTTTGGACTACACCATCACTACAAGATTAATCTTTTAAGATTGAACTTCGATGATAGAATTCTGTATGCCATTTTTTTTTAAAAAAAAAAAAACAATTTTAGGACTTGTAAGTTCCACAAAAATTGGATAAAAATTTTAAGCATTATCTATAGATTTAATATTTATAATTTTATTTATTTATATTTTTGTGTGGCAGAGTTTGCTTTGTTTTGAGAAAAATGACTAATTAGAAAGGGAGTAACCAAAAGCAATGTGGGACCTCCCCCTTACACGTGGCACATTTTGGGACACATAGAATAGTGTGTAAGAACACCTCTCTCCTATCTTATCTTTCAGATCACAACTTTTTCTTTCGTTTTTATGGTCTTTATTTAATTAAGTTATAATATCTTATGGTTACCATTTATTGGATTTTTTTATTTTTCTATCTATTAAATATGCATGAATGTCTTTATAATTTAAGGTTTGTTTGACATATCTTATTTGAAAATTTAAATTAATTTCCAATCACATTTTTTCAATAATTAATTTGCATGTGAATCATAATTTTTCTTATTTTTTAATTACACATCTCTATAAAAATAATTTTTCACTTCAAAGCATCGTTTGGTAACCATTCTTTTTTTCATTCTCATTCTTCTACTAATTTTCAACCACACATTCATCAATAAAATAATATTTTCCATCACATCACTACCTTTTCCTTCATTTTCAACCACAAAAAATGTGTGATTTGACACAAAGAATACATTTTTTTCTGGAATAATGGTTACCAAACGGTGCCTAAATAAAATATGAAGGGAAATCAATAAATGTTTCTTGAGAAAAATAAAATGAAAAGCCAAATAAAGAAATTAATGGAGTGATAATTAGTAGAAGAATGAGAATGAAAAAAAGAATGGTTACCAAACGGTGCCTACATTTTAATTGCATGAAAGGTTCATAACTTTTACACATTATCACATTTAAGGTGTGATTTGACACAAAGAATACATTTTTTTCTAGAATAATGGTTACCAAACGGTGCCTGATATCTTATGGTTTTTACATAAGAATAGTAAGAAGTATAATAATGGCCCATAAAATGTGTATAGTAATAAGTAGTAGTCATAGATGGATAATTAGAATTAATGTTTGACATTCATTGAATTTAAAAATCAATTTATTAAATTGTATCCAACTTAGGCTCACTATGACATATAAAAGTGATACAATAGTTGTAAATTAAAGGTGGGTATTTGCTGTTAGATCTTGTGTTATATAATATCTTTGGTCCTCTATGAATGTTGTCAAGTGGGCAGATATTATGTTGCGTCTAAAATTATTTTGAAGGATAACGAGAAGTTTAAGCAAGCATACGACTCTTTCATTAGAGATTTCCATGATGACTTTATATCGAATTGGTCTTGTAGCCTCGAGTAACACTACATGTCCACTGTTTGAGGGCAAACTTCTTGGCTTCTTGCCATAGAGAAAAAAGAAATAAAATCTAGCAAGATCGTATGAAACATTGGACGCGTTTAGTAACCCAATGGGATCCCTCAAGCGCGAAGTGTTTTCTACTCCCTTTCTACCAATATTAGGTTAGACTTATGTGACATGCATTTTTTGTTGAAGTGGACATACGTTCCTACATGGCTCTAAATATGGTGGAGGTGTAGTGATGTTCATATAAAAGAGTAAAATTAATTCTATCCATCCCTATTCGGAGATCATCCTCGCGTGACATGGTAGTGATGTGCGGTGGTATGATAAGACTAATCCAATATATTGATATGAGACTCGTTTTATTGGTCTTATTATTTATAGTATTATATTTACAACTCAATTTTTTATTATCTAAACAACAGTTTAATTGCAACAAGAGCCCATAATCTTTTCGTATTTTTCACTAGAGTTTTTCGTCGCATTCTTATCATTGGCCTTCAATTAATGAGCACATCTTGTCTATGATCACGATTTATGTCCAAATATTTTGCTAACATGTGTTGCGATGAGGCATGGATATTTTGTCAATCTTTTCTATTTGTTGTTTATTTTATTTATTTATTTAAAAGTACGAGACGAAAATAAGTCTTTTTATGCCTTCTACCAAATTTTCAAACGAAAACCATAATTACAGGCAAGATATGCAAATTAGTAATGTATTGAGCATAAAAATGTGATGAAAAAGAGTAGTAGACATTAATGCAAAAATAAGCAAAGTCAAGGGACATTGATTGCAAATAAAATATGTCGTGGTTAATAAAAAATATTGTGTTAACGTATCATTTAGTGCGACATCACGTGAGTTACGTAACACTGCTAATTTTTAACACCAATCTACGTGGTAACATAATATTATTAAACAATACATCAAATAAAATGGATATCATATATCCAATAATTTATCAATGTAGGAATGCTATTGTCACTATTATTTGGCGATTCATTTTCCTTGCTCTAATAGAACGAAAGTCTCACGCTCAATTTATTGCATAAATTTCCTCGATTTGGAAATAGGGAACAAATCAAACTATCATTTCATAGTTTAGACTAACTTAATTTCAATTGTGACATCTTTGAATAAAATCAAAGTCGAATTGAAATCGATTTAATCTAAGTGATTCCAAGGCTCAGAACACGAATAGATGCATAGAGTGATGATACAAAATTGGAAATTATAAGTTGATCAAGCATCATTAAACACACATTCTTTTTTCGTTTGGTAGAAATTTGAATTTGAGTCAAAGTCAATAACTAATTTTAATCACACGTTTTATGGAATTCATAGATTTTCAACCACACATTGGACTTAAAATTCACAATCTCTATTTATTTTTTACATTGTTTTGAAAACCTAACACTGGGACAATATTTATACACACACAAAAAAACTAAAGCCTCCATAATTTATAAGTGATTTGTAAATAGAAAAAATAACGAGCCTTAAGAAATATGTAGATAATAATGTTCATTCAGGTTCAAAAACTAAGAGACCGTTCTCTTTGCTGTTTTCAGGCTATTTTCAGTTTTCAGTTTTCGAAAACACTGAAAACACATTTACTTACCTATTTTCAGAAACGAGTTTAAAATTTATAAAGAAAACGGAAAACGCCAAAAAGTAGTTTTGTCTGATTTCAGTTAAAAGCAAACAAAAACATTTTTTTTTTTTGAAAATGACAAAAACAACGCGTTTCAACAATCTCAAAATGGACACTTAAATACAAAACTCAAAACTAAAAACTGAAACACGAAGAGAACAGCCCCTAAATGTCCATTCAGATCTGAATATACTTTTGAAAGACCATAAAATCAATATTTTTCCCTTTTCTTGAAACTAAAATCTATTCCATCAACCCACCCAGCTAAATAATGTATGGTCGATCATTTCCCTATTGAACCGTTGATTTCTTGCGAAAAAGTTTCTAATAGTAACATATCTGGATTTCGGACCAATTCTTGATCTAATTTAATCCGATTTTATAATATTTAGCCCTTGTTCGAGTTTCATTTTCTCAAAATTCATTTGCAACAATATATTCTCCCTATAAAATAATTTCACATATAAACCTAAAATTCTTCTATACTTTTTAACCATATATTCAAAAAAATAACTATTTCAAAATCCGTAAAAATGGGTTCAAAGGCTTGTTAATATTGCTTTTTAACAACACAGTTATTGGGTGCCAGCAGCAAGCACGATTGGTAAGCTTGCCTTGCACCAACTTTCAATGCTATGCTTTTCCGATTTGAACGAAAATCGCATCTCAGCGCTGTATAGTTATAAGAAAGTCGCATTTAGTGATTCTGGAAAATAGGTTATACAAATCGATTCAATTTCTGTAGATACGGCGTCGTTTCACGCAGTGCTCTAAACTTTCAATTTCTTTGACTGATAATCAGCTTCCCCTTCATCAGTTCCGAAATCCTAAATCGCTGAAAGATTTGATCTTTATTGTCGTAGATTACACACAATCACACCATCAGCGCGTGTTCATATATGTAACTTAATGGCATTCCAGGCATTTGGGAAGAACTTAGGTCCAACTACGCAACCAAATCCTCAAAACCCTCTCAGCAATTTCACTTCGCCCCCTGCTCCCATGCCTACTTTTCCAAGATCTCCCAGGTAAGATATATGTATGCTTTAATTATTCCTTGATGCTGTATTTTCAAGATTTGTATATATGCGTGTGTTTGTTGTGTGTACGTGTGATTTTTGATTGCGAAATGGATAACCTTTGGGTTGTTTAAAAAAGAGAAAAAAAAGTGGGATGCTGTATTTCCAAGATTGGATGTGTATTCGGGTTTGAAGTTTCGAAAGTTTACTTCTATTCTTTGGCATTGGTTGTAGAAATTTAGTTGAATATAGTGATCTTGATGCTCCGGAGGGACAGCATTTGGCCATTGACAGAAGCTACACAACTATGGGTTCTTATCGCCCTTCTGCTGGAATTCAGAGGTAATAAACTGTGCAATCTTCTTGTTCTTATTCAAAATTCATGTCCAGTTCGTTCATATGAATGCTATGGGAGTGTTATTGGTAATGGCTTGATAGGCTTTAGTATTAGAAATACTCCCATTAAAGATGTAAGTTTTACCTTCCTAGTACAACTTGTTTGGCTGGTAAAAGTTGTTTGTTTTTGTCTATGAAGCCAACTCACATAATAATTTCTTTGCTATTTGCCCTTGCTGAAATGAGAATGTTGGAAGCTTTTGCACAAAGCTGTGGTAAAGTACCCCTACTAACGACTGCATACTTTATTATGTCTTTGAAGTGAAAAGTTCTGTTGATTGCTCCAAGATTATTAGAACTTCTGTTCTTAACTTATATATTTACGCTGAGCCCTTTTCTGGGTACCAGAGAAAGTATATAACAGCTCGTTTGGTGCACATTAAAATGAGAGATTGCATTTTTTTGAAGTGGTGTGATGGAGAATATATGGTTGAAAAAGAATGAAAAGTTATTGATGTGATGAAAAATATTATTTTATTGAAGAATGTGTGGTTGAAAATAAGTAGAAGAATAAGAATAAAAAAAATAATGTGGATCAAACAGAGGCTAAATTTAATTGGTTATCAGTCTAATTGTTGTATCAACTAAACTTCTTCTCAAGTATAAAAATATTATTGCAGATGTATTCTTCGGTCTATGATTCCATTAGGTATGGATTTCACGCCTCTATTTGACGGAAATCGTGAATAAGGACTAAAGTGTAATTAAAATGTAAGGTTTAGGAGTGGCATGCCAAGAAAAAAGTTGGTGATGGAAGTGCGACTGATTCCAAACTTTGGGGTCGCATGTGGAATATACCCATCGATTTTTAACCTAACAGGTTATGGCTGTAGCTAAATATATGATGCCTTAATTATAAGACTTTGGGAAATATTTAGTTCTGTCAATTTTTAAGTTATGATGTGTTGTATTTAATTTTATTGGTGCATTCTGTATTAAATGGTCTTCTCTTACATATTTTTAACTGTAACCTTTTTGTTCTCTAATTTTTTTTTGCTCTATTTTGGCAGTCGTTCAGATTTACCTTCTAATAGTAGGAGCTACTTGGTTCCTCAGCAAGCACGTTCACCTCCTTTGGTTTTCCACAATAATCTATATGCAGGAGACCGATATTCTCTTTCTGCTGAAGCTCAGCGGTAAGTTTAGTCTTGGCACCTTCTCCCCCATTCTCTGAATATACACAGAATTTTGGACACTTGTACTAATAATAACAGCTCTAAATCTTGAGTTTGCTTGCTCAAGTTACCTTTTAGAAATACATAAATAATGCTACCAGCCGCTCCCTATTTGCTAGTGCTCACCATTTTCTACACATTACTCTACAACCATCACTATAGTTTCTGGATTTCGGTGTTGACTCTCTCTCTCTCTCTCCACACACACACATTCTTATTCGCGGGTTCTCATTTTAGTATCTTCAAGATACTAAAATACAATCTTGCGTCGCACTAAGTCCTGTTCTCCATTATTTTTGCCTTTTCTCATTGTTGTTGACCTGGAATCCTGGTACTCCAATTGTAATTTGACGCATCAGACTTCCTGTTATTCTCTTTTTAGTTTGGATTTGTTTGGTTGTGGCATGGATAATACCTTACATTTTTCACCGGCTGGTGGGGTGGAGTGAATTTTGTAACTGGAAACAGGATTTCAATGTAATATCATTATATTTGTAGGACAGCAAGGCTGCCCTTTTATCTGTATTCATGTATCTGATGCTTAGATATTTACATAATGATGCTGTAATTTTTTTGTAGCCATCCTTTCTCTTCTTCAGTGAGGGGATATCAAACAATGTCATCTAGCAATTTCACCAATGAAGTGGCTCAAAAAGGTGTCTCCTCAGTATCGCCATTGGTAAATACTTTAGAATCCGGAAGGAAGTTTCAAGCCAAGCATGCAGATGTTCATCTCCCAAAAAGAACGAGGCCCCCATCACTTCCACCTACGAATGGAGCTCCATTGGAGAATTCTGTTTTTTATCTGGATGGCCAAAAAAGGTACAAGTGAACTTCTTACTTTTTGAAACCTTTAGTTCTCTTGTCACCTAAATTATGCTGAGGCTTGATTTTAATAAATTTGTGCCTGTATGATTTGTTTTTTGGGTGGTGGGGAATATTAGTCTTTCGACTCTTTCCCTATAGGTTTTCAGCAAAAACTCTCTTTATAATGCTTGAACAGTAACTGAGGATCTTCTCGTTTCCCAATCAATGGAAAACCAAAGTAAATCCATGCCCCAAATGGAAAAAAAGGATAAGAGATCAAAAGAAATCCACATGTTAAATTTGTACTATATTAAGTTGGTTTTAAATTGGCCAAATAATATTTCCAAGCTTGTTAGAAAACTGTTTGTGGGCCTGTGGTATGGACTTAATTGTTCCCTCTCCTTGTCTACTGAGCAACCAACATCACCTTCGCAAATACAGTTTAGACTTTCAAATCATGTGCCCTGATTCAGAACTCAAGGAAAATGACTGAAATTTGAAGATGTCTTTTCTTTCCATTCTACAAGTCAAAAAAAGAAGAAAAAGAGAAGAAAGTGTATGGAGTCATGTCCCTCAAATTGAATACCTGAAACAAAATCTTAAAAATGAAATTCAGCCTAAATGAGAGGAAGGTCAACTACTGACTGATGTTACTTACGGCATCCTTATGTTACTCTTGGTACTTGGCCGTTGGGAAAGATTCTAAAAGGCGTAAAGCATAGAGGTCAAGCCTCAAGCCTTACAAGCATAGGCGTAACACGGCGTATTTTTATTTAGCCCCTATTTGATAGGGATTAAAATCTAGATTTTAATCTAAATCAAGTCAACAACTAATTGTAACCATATATCATGGGACTCACAACTTTTCAACTACATATTTTATCAACTTTTATCAAAATTTATTAAAAATCTAATTTTAATTACCACCAAACAGGGGCTTAATGCTGATCAATAAATAAATAAATTTATAATTTCAAGTTTCCTACAAAAAACATAATTTCTCAAATTCATAAAACTCAAATCAATAATGCTTTGTTCGTAGACTGGATTTGGGTTAGTGGTTTTTTTGTTGGACTCATTTCCCTTTTAAGTTTCAGCAATAGTTGAACATTTTGTTGAGCTGTTTAGAACACTTCAAATAATACACCATGCAGTGTGATTTGCCTTATCAAACTCGTCTTAATTGCTTCTAAGTGCATCAGTTGATTATCTTGGATTGTGCAGAATGGGAGAATACTGTCTTTTTTGCTTGGGAATAATATAATCTTCTTATAATTTCCACTGAATGACTCCCACCTCCACCTGAGCACTTCTTTTTAACTGTCCCTTTTGGAGGAACACTTTTCAGTTTTTATACACCATGCAGTGTGATTTTCCTTATCAAACTCATCTTAATTGCTTGTAAGTTCATTAGTTGATTGTCTTGGATTGCGCAGAATGTGAGAATACTGTCTTTTGGCTTGGGAATAATATAATCTTTTTCATAATTGCTACTGAATGACATCCACTTGAGCACTTCTTTTTGACTTTCCCTTTCGGAGGAAGGTTGATTAAAATTGTCGTTTGAGTAACAAGCACAATGCCCTGGTGGGTCCAGGAACTGACATATTGGTTCTAATCAAAGCTGAGGTGTCTGGAATTCTATATTCACTATTTAACACTGAAAAGAAAGTTTATTCTTTACATTATACGAAACTGGACTAAAGTTTCATTTCTTTTGCTAAGTTTGTCTCCTAATTTCTTTGTTAGTCCTACTACATCTCAACCAAAATTGCGGGCAAATAATAGTCCTCAAAGAGGTCAAGATTTTCCAAGTAAGAGGCAGTCTTCAACACCTGGAGAATATGATAATCCTGAAGTTGTTGCAAGCAAGCCAAAGCACTTTCCAGTTGCCAAAAGATCCAAGATACCTTCCTCATCTTCTCCTGACCAAGGTTTTCAACGGGATCCCGATTCTGCAGATGAAATTGAGCGGTAGGACATTATGCCCTTGTTTGGGCTCTATTCTTAAAAAATCCATTTTTCTCTCTCATATTTTCAACCATACATTCTCCAATAAAATAATATTACATGTAAATCCAAAACTTTCCTTCTTTTTTAACCACATTCTTCAAAAAAATAACTATTCCAAAATACACTTTTCCCCAAAATTTGATTTTAATGGAGCCCAAACAAGGGCTATGTGTATTGCACTGGTTTATAAATTAGTAACTGCATTAATTATCATGATAAAATTCCAGTTTATCATGCTTCTGTCCTTTATTGATCCCATTGTTTGCAGAGAACTGCAAGCCAAAGCAAAACGTTTAGCCCGCTTTAAGGATGAACTTAGCCAGAGCGACTCTACAACTTCAATCCAGAAGGTTCCTGTAATAAGACAGAATCAATCTATGCTGGAAAAAAGGAAATATACTGAGGATCCTACAACGGATAGCAATGTTATCTCCGATAATGAAGGCCCGACACCATCCAGCATTATAATTGGATCGTGTCCAGATATGTGTCCTGGTACGTCATTTAAACTTTCTTCACAATTTAAGCTTGAACAGACAATGGCTAAGCTCCTGTATTGTGGTCATCAGCCTCTCACATCAAAGTTATCTCGGCCAAATTTAATATCATCAAGTTGTTTCCCGCATTTGTGCCATGTGTAAAATTGAGATTCACGCAGTCTGCAAAACTAGCATACTAAAACATCACAAAGTTCCCTTGTTATGGTTTTGTTGTAAATTTGACTTTCCTTGTTCGCCAGTTCCTTTTCTTGTATTTACTTCCTTAGGATATATAGAAGCAGTATAGAATTTTTTCAAACCCTAGAAATTTAGGCTTTCAATTTGTTTCTTGATTTAGGATATTTAGAGAATGTTGTAAATTTCAAATTAACAATTTTTCTATGGGTTACCTTTCAAAATTTTTTTTTTCTATGGGTCAAAGTTGAAAATAAGTAAAATACTTATTTTGACAGTATGGTTACTTGTTTTTTTTTTTTTGACTTTGTCCTTGTTTGGCCCCATTTTCTAATTTTTTTTTTCTCAAACTCATTTTCTACCCCACATTTCATGGGATCCACATCTTTTATTAACTTTTTAGCCACTCATTTAATCACTTTTATCAAAATCTACTACTAAAAATTTGATTTTTAGCTAAACCAAGCAGGGGTTTGATGGTAAGTTATCCAAACATGTTAGGAGACAAAAAGTTACTTATAGTAACTTGACTCCTTTTAAGCTTAGCCAAATACGCTCTTAGTCAACCCTTTGATTAATTCTATAAGAGAGTTACACTGTAGATTGTTTCCTTTTACGGTTATTTTTAACCCACCCCATAAATAGGGTCTTTCTCTTTGCATTTCTAAGACAAAATGGTTATACGAATTCTCTATTTTTTTTATTATATGTCTTAATGATATTTGTTTCATAGTTTCTAACAAGGATAGAACAGAATAATATATTCCAGAGCCTTTTCCATGCCACTTAAGCATGGTATAATCATCACGGCTCAAACTGCCTTGTACCAAGTTTTTGATGCCATGAAAATTGTTCTTGCCATCATAGAAAACGAAGATTTCTATCATATACATGTGATGCATTTGGTCATGATTGAATACATCAATTGAATGCATAGGAATTATTTGCTGTCACTTAATCAAGGGCTTAAATATTGACCTCCACTTCCTGCTCACTCAACAACCCGGTGCCCAAAGAACGTTGTAAAGTGTGGAAAGTCAAGAACTTTTCTTCTCTTTCCTAGAGTAACTTTGCATTTTGTTTATGAAGTTCTGGTGTTTCATGTCAAGAGTTGACGTTTCATAGGAACTATTTTCTTTCACTTAATCAAGGGCTTAAGTATTGACCTCCACTTCCTGCTCACTCAACAATCCGGTGCCCAGAGAAGTTTGTGAAGTGTGGAAAGTCAAAAACTTTTCTTCTCTTTCCTAAGAGTAAATTTGCATTTTGTTTATGAAGTTCTGGCATTTCGTAGCAAGAGTTGACGTTTCATCTTGTTGTCATGCTTTAGAGTCTGAGAGATCAGAACGGGAAAGAAAAGGAGATCTCGACCATTACGAACGCTTCGAAGGCGATAGAAATCAAACTAGCAAATTTCTTGCCATTAAAAAGGTAAATATTTGGAATCTGCATATTTCTCATAACAAATAATGATAAAGTAGAAAAGAAACTATTTCATTATCACATAGAGCAAGCTGATGAATAATTGCGTATGATTCTTCAGTACACTAGGACAGCAGAGAGGGAAGCAGTTCTAATACGGCCAATGCCAATCCTGCAAAAGACGATGGTTTATCTTCTGGATTTGCTGGATCAGCCTTACGATGATAGTTTCCTTGGCTTGTATAACTTCTTGTGGGATAGGATGAGGGCAATCCGTATGGACCTGAGGATGCAACATATTTTTAACCTAGAAGCCATCAGGATGCTGGAGCAGATGGTCTGTTCTCTTTCTGCTTGTCCTCTCTAAACAGAAATAATTTTTTTAAATGCCATCATAGTAGCTGTGTTATGAAAGCTCACGAGATTGGATGATAATTAATGAATAACTATCCATTTATTCAGTATCTAGTCTCTCCACTCTTACATTGGATGAAGAAAATGGGAACTTTTATTTTTTACTTCTTATTTTTATCATTATTTTTTTCATATATATGAATATATTCCTTTCATTTAAGAGTCTTGTATCATCTTGCTTTTTGTAATTTTCTTCTCTGTAAAATAATCCTCTAAACAAAAACTGTTTTTGTGTTTGATGATATAAATTGATTATTTATAGGCAATTTCAGAAGACTAATTACTCTTGCTGATATCCTTGTCACAGATAAGACTTCATATAATAGCCATGCATGAGTTATGCGAATACACCAAAGGAGAGGGATTCTCAGAGGGATTTGATGCTCACCTAAATATTGAGCAGATGAACAAAACATCGGTTGAATTATTCCAGTTGTACGATGATCACAGAAAGAAAGGAATACATGTGGCATCAGAAAGAGAATTTAGAGGTTATTATGCACTCCTCAAGCTCGACAAGCATCCAGGATATAAAGTAAGTCTTCTATGATTGGACATGATTCCTCAACTCTCATCCCATGTTCTCTGTGAAAATAAGAAAATCATGTCAGGTTGAACCTGCAGAGCTGTCGCTTGATCTGGCCAAGATGACACCAGAAATGCGGCAAACTCCAGATGTGTTATTTGCCCGTGATGTAGCCAGGTTGTGAATTCTTAGATTTGCATGAAAGTGTCCTCGTTNGTTTTTTATTTTTTTGGCGTATTAATCATCTGTTAATGATAGTTTCATCACTTTATTGCAGAGCCTGTAGAACAAGCAATTTTATTGACTTCTTTAGGCTTGCTCGAAAAGCTAGCTATTTACAAGCATGCTTAATGCATGCTCATTTTTCGAAGGTATGGCCTTTGCTGCTTCTTGTTGTAAGTGTTAGAAATAGAATCATATTGGCAATTAAGTCTCCAATCACACATGATAGTGTATCCATTAAGTTATCTTCACCATTAATTGTGATATGTCCATGACAAGTCTGTTGGTATTATACAAGTTTCTCCTTCTTTCAACATCGTGGATGTTTTGGGGGATAAACTGTCAGAAACAAGGGCAGAACCACACCAGGTGGAGGCAAATTTGAAAATATATTTAGGATAAATTCCCTTCAAGGGGTCCCAAACCTTTCATAAGTGTGGCAGCCATGTCCCCAAACTTCCATTTCTAGCACCCATATCCCATGAATGGAAGTTTTGGGAAATGGCTGCCACACTTACAAAAGGTTTGTGGACCCCTTGAAGGAATTTACTCTAAACTTTTTCATCCTTATGCTCATGCAAAGAGCAATTTATCAAGGGATAGTTTTCTTTGATAAAAAAGGAGCTCAATGACCCAATATTCATTATCATTCTAAACTTCTCCATGAATTATTTATCTAGCTGTCCTACTTGATCTGTCATCCCAATACTATGCATACAGAAATTGTATTAATTTGTGTGTGTTGAACAGTTACGTGCCCAGGCTCTTGCTTCTTTGCACAGTGGTCTGCAGAGTAACCAAGGAATTCCTGTCTCTCATATGGCTAAGTGGCTTGGGATGGAGGTAAATGTTTAAGATCAATTACTGTTCTTTCAAATCATCAAAAGGTTTTATATTCAGTTTTATGTGCTTGTCTATTTAAATCAGGAAGAAGACATAGAGAACTTTCTGGAGTATTATGGATTCTCAATAAAAAAGTTTGAAGAACCTTATATGGTGAAAGAAATTTCATTTCCTAATGTTGAGAATGACTATCCTGTCAAGCGTTCAAAACTTGTTCATCAGAAAAAGTCAAAGATGATAGTAACTGATGTCTCATCTCCTTGTCTAGCTGAGTCATTTGCCTCTGAGAAAGCAAAAAAGGGTCATGAGCCGGAACCTACTCCTGTTCAAACCATCGCGCCTGAAAGTACCCAGGCCATAGATGAGGAGATGCATGACTATGGAACCATCTCATCCCCAAAAGACGCCACACTGAAGCCAATGTTTGAAACATCTGTTGATTTAAGGATCCCAATCAAACGAAAGAGTGGAGATGAGGTTCGGGTGGCTCCAGCTAATCCTTTGGTATGGGATTTCTCCAAGAGCTCTCCTAAATCAGATGAAATCAGGGTTGAAAGTGGAGGGACTCCGATGTATAACCATATTTTCAGAAACTCTTTTAACAAAGTGACTAAGAATGACTCAGAATTCACACCATCACAAATCACGCCAGAAAGAGCAGAAGTAAGATTTCCCATTCTGCCAATTGATTCTAATGTGAAAAACCCAGTACCACAGCCCGTGTTCATTGAAGACTTAGAAGATGAAGAACAGACATGTATTGTGGAAGAAGATAAAGCTGATGAAGTGGGAACAAGTTATTACGATGAAGAAATTGCTCAGGCAAAACTTATACTTATATTGAGGTTGTGACTGCTATTTTTTAGCCTGTCATTCTTAGTGATTCTTTCATTCCTCATTATTATCTTACTAGTTTATTGGTCAGGAGATGGAAGCGTTGTGCATCAAAGAACAGAGAATTGCGAGAGCAAAAACAGTTAGCTTCATGTGCTGCACTGGGTTCACTCTCAATGGGTCCACCAATTTGGCACTATGAAGTTGTAAGTATTCTTTAGAAGCTATTTTCCTCACTTGATATTTGCATAGTTAACCAGTGATAGTGGTGAAGATGCAAGCTGTTTTATTAAGATATTAGTTGTAGGCTTGAACGTGTTTTTATACAATAAAGCATTAAATTAGCATGCAGTGAATGAAGATATTGCATTTTTCTTGCTTGATATCTTTATCATCTAACAAGTAAAGCACAGGTATTCAAATAATACATGTGTGGTAGGTTGTTATATATTGCTATCTACCAGATGTTAAACTTGCAAAATGCTTAGGATGTCTAATGCTGATTAAATCAAATTTTTTGTAGATTTTGATAGAAGTTGATGAAACGTGTGGTTGAAAAGTTGTGGGTTCCATAAAATGTGTGGTTAAAATTAGTTTTTGAATTTGACTTGGATTAAAATTTTGATTTTAATTTCTACCAGACATGGGCTAAATGTTTCATCTGGGTGTAGAACTCAATGAGCCCAAGTTTTTTGAGTTTTTAAGAGGCCAATCGGGCATCGCAATATTGGTAGGATTGAATTTTGTTACATTTTCATTAGCTAAATATACTCACATCCAAGAAGAAGGAAAAAAGAAGAAAAAACACCCATTAGCTATTTGGGATGATCTGAAATATATGTCCACTCTGTTAAGGACATTATTAAGTTTCCAATTACCCATCATGAAGTGCTATGATTAGATCTATTAGAAAATCATGTTAACTGTCACACCTTTATGGCCAATTTGAACCACCATGTTATATGCTCTGCATAAATGACTTAGATTGGGCAGAGGTTAACTCATTGAGATTGGAAGTGTTTCCACATTGTTTTTTAGTGCAGGTAATTTGATAACCTTGTTGTGAACAAAAACAATTGTAATGAAAATTTTGTCTGTCCCGTATACATGAGCACAGACAGAAAGATGTAAAATTAAGTATCTAACAGTTTGCAAGTTCATTTAACTTCCCACTTGCATCACTTTTATGGTTGATTTTTCTTCTCTTCTGAAGCAATCAGGCACTGTTGGCGAGTTCAACATTCATCATGTCATGAGTAGAAGACGTGAAATTCTAGAAAAATCATGGTCAATGCTGAATCCTTCAGATGTTGTAGCAGCTACACTTGTTGAAAGAAATTCAGATGCCAAATGCATTTGCTGGAAGATTGTTTTATGTTCTCAGGATGACAGCCTCCATCTGGACATCACTTCGCAAAGGAATGAAGCTCTGCAGACTGCTGCAGGTTCATGGTTGCATTCTAAACTTGTGCCCATGAGGAATGAGAATGATGATTTGCTTAATTCATCTCCTGGCCTGGCTATTTGGAAAAAATGGGTTCCTAACCAATCTGGCATCAATCTGACATGTTGTTTGTCAGTTGTTAAGAGTGTCCATTATGAGAATTTGGATGACACTGTAACAGGTGCCACTGCAGTTATCTTCCTTCTGTCAGAACGCATCCCAATGGATCTCCAAAAGGATCGGCTTCATGACCTCATCATGTCATTGCCTTCTGGTTCTCAATTGCCCTTTCTAATCTTAAGTGGTACAGACAAGGGCGATTCCGATCCTTCTGTTATATCTGAAAAATTAGGGCTCAATAATATTGACAAATCACGGATGGGTACATTTTACATTTCTTTTCTCAGAGACCAGCCAATGGAACAGTTTGATGGGTTTTTCAGCGACGAAAAGTTAAGAGAGGGACTGCAATGGTTGGCAAGTGAATCACCGCCACAACCTGTTATCCACTGCATAAAGACACGTGAATTGGTTCTAACCCACTTGAGTTCTGCATTGAAGGTTTTTGACGAGGTTAGTTCTCACAGTGTTGGTCCAAACCAATGTATTACGGCTTTCAATGATGCCTTGGATCAATCCATGGGGGAAGTGGCTGCTGCAGCCAGAGCAAATCCTAATGGTTGGCCTTGTCCTGAAATCAGTTTGCTGGAGAAGTCTACTGATGAGTACAGAGCTTCTGTTTGGTACTTGCCGAGCATAGGATGGAGCTCAGCTCAAAGAACTGAAGCACTTTTGTCCGTGTTAAATGAGTCTAAACTTCCAACATTTGAGCATGACATTTCTTGGTTATACAAGGGTTCAAATATGGGTGTTGATATTGGAAACCAGAAATTACTCCTCGAAAATTGCTTAGTTAACTATTTTACAGAGACTAGTAAGTTGTTGGGAGCGTCGTTAGCAAGAAAAGAGGCAAGTGCAATTCTTCAAAAATGTGCCCAGCTTGAGCTCCATCATTCGACCTACTACATAATCCCAAGTTGGGTTAGAATTTTTCGACGGGTATTCAATTGGCGGTTGATGAATTTGACTAGAGGGGAATTTTCTTCGACGTATATCTTGCCGCAGAATGACTATTCTACCCCTTCAGTAGTTCTGGATAAATCTGAGCTTGACTATAACACGTTGACACCTTTCTATGTTTCTCCATCACTGGATGAAATGGTCGAAGTTGGCTGCTACCCTCTCGATTCTGGTGTGATTCCTGCTGAACACATGGCTTTCCAACCTTGGTCGCCCATGGATTCTGACAGATGTGATGTTCAGACTTCTAACAATGAAATTGTCTTGGTGGAGGATGAACAGAATGAAAGCCGGAATGGTGTAGTGACGACAAGTGACGACGACTTCACAAATGAAGTAAATGACAGAACCCCACTAGGGTTCCTCGCCAAAGCTACCAAAGAAGCTGACAAACTAAGCGAGATCCTGGAGAAGTGCAATATTTTGCAGAACCTGATAGACAAAAAGTTATCGATCTATTTTTAGTATGACAGATTCTGTTTCGAAAATTTTTGTAGCACAGTGAAGTATAAAAAGGTCAGAGAACGAGGTGCATATATTTTGGCATGGGATATGTTGTGCATCTTTGAAGGTTCGTATTGCCATGGTGCTTTAAGCAATGTGGTAATGACTTTGGCTTTGCCCAATGATCATCTCCCGTCCAATACCGGTATGGTTTTGCATTTACCGTCATGCTGTTCAATACATCACTAGTGCCATAAGCTAAAGGGAATTTGCTAATTGGTCCATTCACTTGGTACAATTCTTCGACAGGAAGTATGTATCTACAAATAGAGTGGTGCGTGGGTTTTGCATACATTACTTGTTTTGAAAGGAACTCATCGAATCGGAGCAACAAAGGACAGTGAAAGTAGCACGTCCAGGCAAGAATGCTACTAGGTTGTAGCAGGTGCCTCTTTTATCCATCTCCTTAGTAGTCTTTTTTTATAATAACATTGTAGCTTTTGTAACAAAAAATTTATTGGAGGAAGCACCCTCCAATTAATGGAAATCAAATTTCCAAAAGAACTATGATGAATTGTACTGTTTGGGCGTGCATGTATGGGGGACTAGGAAGTATAGAGAACACTTCATTGTATCCTCTCTTGAAGCTAAAACGGGAAAGTAAATAATGAAGGCTAGAAGTGTCTACTAAAAAAATAAAAAAAATGTGGACGTTATGATATAGAGACAAAAAAATATGGAGAAAATGTGGACGAAAGAAATGTAGCGAATTAAAAACATGAAGACAAATGGTGTGAAGTCCATCTAAGCTCAACATATGAGCACTTTAATCCCAACTAAGATATTGCACTCTCTAAATTTAGGCGTGCAAAATTTAAATGGGGTGCAATATCATGATGAACCCACATCATCTCCATAACCTTCAACCCCCACTCCACCCCAAAATGTTATAATAATTGACCATCCAATGTAATGAAATTAGCATGCATAATATCCATATTTCCAAAGAAAAAAAGGAAAAAAGAATTTCAACTAAACTCTACAATCCCCCTAGTCTTCCACTTTTTGCTTTTTAAACCTCTTGGCATGTCTACCACCAGCACCAGCCTACCCCACCATTGCACCACCACCACTGCCGGCTTATTTCTTTCGACACGTGAACACTTGGAAAACGACACTCCCGGTAGCTGGAAAGTCATCCACGGTGCAACTTCGGAACTTCATTCCAAGTGGTTTGATTGCCTTTGCCACTTGCATCCACACTTCATGGCTGGTGCATGTGGTTGCCACTGTCACTGTCGCAGGCCGGAAAACTTGCACTGCCTTGTTCAACACCTCCGCAATATCGTCGTACATAGAGGCCACACACTCGAAACTTGCATAACTAAATCCATCCTCGGGCGTAATGTGGATTGTCGAATAACGATCACCATCAATGCCATTCATAGAATATCCACATGGATCAAATGCAAAGTCACATATAAGTGCATTAGGGTTGATGTCACATATGCCCGCTGATTCCGTCATCTCTTTTCCGGCGGAATCTCCGGTTTGACCTGTTGAAGATAAAATCTAATTGAATAAATGTGTCTCATTCTCTATTAACTTAAGGTTTCAGACAAGATGCTTTAGTACATTACGTGAGCATGCAAAGAACCGGATCTCAAGTCTCTATGCTACTCGATTATGAAAATTGTGCAAGTGTCTAAATTTAGATGAGATGATTCAACATTACCGTCATTTGGACGTCGGAAAAACTTCTGGGCCAGAACTCTATCCAGCCCAGTCATGCAAACTTCCACAGTATAGAGCTGATCATCATATGGGCTCTTCTGCATCATTGTTTGAGATTGATCACAAGCTGAGAATACATGCCATGAATGAGAAGATAACTTTGAAGGCATCACAGAAGATTTTCTACAGCAAAGATTTTCAGGCAAGTTCTCCTCCAAATAAACAATTTCCTCTTCAAAACTTGTATGTGGGTAAGGTTGTTCTTCAGGGAAAATGAAATTTCCTCTGGTGTATCTGCATGCACAGATTTTAAGGTCCATTGTAGCAGCATGATGCAGCAATGGAGGGATGGATTTTAACAATTGGGTGGTCCCACACGTTTTGATTATGATTTTTGTAGGGTACACAAACAGGCTTGATTCTGATAATACATAAGAATCAAAATACTGATTTCCAAGTGCTGAAACTACTGTGCACTGCACTGCATGCAATACTTCCTCAAGAGACTGAAAGTCCAGCTGACGGAAACCTATTCCGATTGCCGGATCATCACCGGAAAAGTTTAGCTCGAGCCTCTTCTCAAATCCTTCGAACCCAGAAACAGCCATTGATGAAAGATGCAAATATTAACGTTCGAATTCCTAAGAGACAGAATAAAATGTTAGTATTTCTTTGTGTTTAGCTGCAGGAATACAATGACAGAAGTTGAGATGCCATTACTGTTACAGAAGTGTGTGTATATGTAGGGAGAGTATACGTGAAGGGGGTAGGGTAGGGTGGGGTGGGGTGGGATGGGATGGGATGGGATGGAGTGGAGTGGAGTGGGGGCATGCGGGTGAAGGCAACAAAAAACAATGATTGTAGGCATAATGAGTAGAAGATGATGGTCATTTTTGAGATCTTTCTTCAGACAAGAACACGAAACCTAATTACTGGCTACGCTCATTCTTTCTTCTTCTTCCATTTTTCATTTCAGAAAATCATCATTTTTCTTTTTCATGAACAGAAAATTTCTCTATACATTTCCATAATTAATTTTTAGATATTAAATCGGGAAATACAGTTACTGTTAATCAAGCGATATCACGTTAAATCATTTCTTCTAAAAATCTTAAATTGTTAAAGATGGACATCTTGTTTACTTAAATTCTATTTACAACTTTCTTTTTGTCACAGTGTACGTAATTGTTAAAAATGAGAGAGAACATGATTTGAACAGATCGAGATGTTTACATGTTTATTCATTTTAATTTTCATGAATATGGTCCCATTTTTTCAAGTTTTGGCATCATTTATTTCTACTCAAAAGGTGTATAGCACTAGCCTGTTCCATCTGGTGAGTGGTGCAGATGATGGACATTTTCTTAGTTTCATTATTCTTCTCTTAAACTGTGAATAGCTTTCTTTTAAGTGATGATACACATTTTGAACACAAAGTTCCATGAAAAATCTAATAAAAAATTAACCTTAAACAAATAAAAAAAATAAGCAGCTGTTGTTTTCTGACAGAGTTACTTATAATTGAATTAATTAAATTGATACTTCCTAGTTGTGAAAATTTGAGAAAAGTGATTTTGTTATTGGTTTTGATTTAGGTGGTTTTTTTATTCAATTATACTTTGACAAGTTGTTCATAAAGAATTCACCATTTTCTTTTGAAAAATAGATCAAACTGATCTAAGATTTCCATTAAATAAAAGGAAAAAAAAAAATCAAATCAGAACTTTATTCAATAAGAAATTATTTTGATGCTAAATAAAATCAATAAAAAAATAAAATTTGGTGGACAGAGCTGGTTGGCACAGTCATTTACATATTATCTTAGAAAACTAGCTAGAGACATAATAATAAACTTAGATTCTTCAATACATGACATCAATTATTAGAGCTCATTTTGTTTTATAGGTGGTCTCAAGTGATCAGACAAGGCTATGTTGGAGATATATATACGAGGAGATAAAAGTTAACGACGTATATATTTTGTAAATAATACAAAAAAGTTACGTTGGAGATATGCATACAAGAAGATAAAAGTTAACATGTTTGGTATAACACGAAAAAGCTACGTTGGAGATATTCAAACGAGAAGATAAAAGTTAACGACGTGTTCGTTAAATAATAAGGAAGAGAGTAAATCATATGATAGATTTTTTCCCTCTCAAATTATATTAAAGTATGTTATCTAAAAGTGTACCTAAATAAATCGAGAATTGGAAAATGCCACATTATCATAAAAATTCTAACAGATTATTTGACATAGGAGCGTGTGACATTTTGTTATTTGATGAAAAATGTGACTGTGTTTTAAACAATCTAATGATAGAACGCAAAGTGATACTATGTCAATCATTGTGTCAACCATTACATCACTGTAGCATGATTCTTTTTTGATAAATTATATATTTCCATCTTTTCATAAGTTGACAGGTTAGCATGCTCAAAATTTACCAAATTAATTATATATATTAAAAAGCACATTAGGAATCAGCCAATCAAGCGTGATAGCTGAATCTAAACGTAATCACACGCATATAAATAAGTATTCGCGCATGTATTTAACTATAATATGTCAAACTACTTAAAAATATGTTTTGTATACAGATAAGAGTGGAAGATTATATGCATAATAAATTAAAATTTAATTTATTTTTCTTTTTCAATGTTATTTTCTGTCTTCGTACCAAAAATGCATAACTATTTGAGAGAAGGCCTAGGAAAAAAACATACCAAATTATTAAAAACTGAGACGTGACGTCCATACCGAGGAGTGATTAAGTCTCCATTTGAAAATTTTATAAATGGTTTATAAATAGAAAGAGTAGTTATGACGAGATTGAGATAAATATTTGATTTTGACTGAATTATAAATTAAGTCATAAATTGTATCCAAACGAAGATATGACATTTAGGGGTGGGCGCGGTTCGGTTCGGTTCGGTTCGGTTTAGTTCGATTTTTTTCGGTTCCAGAAACTTTCGGGTATTTAGTAAATGGAACCGTCGGTTCCAAATATAATTTTGGAACCGTTCGGTTTCGGTTCGGTTCGGTTCCGTTCAGTTGTGTACTATAATTAAATTTTTTAACATTTAAAATAATACTACATAAATACACCTGAAAGTAGATACTAATATTAATAACAAAAAGTAGATA